AAACTTTAAGTTACTACTTCCATATATGTAATATTTTAGTTTGGGGAGAGAGATTGGCAACGAAAAGTAATTCCTGAATTTAACAGCCAAGTTTGTTATCCCTAATCTAAAGAGAAGAATACTTAAATTGTATTAACGACAAAAATTAGCCTCCTCTGAAGATTCATCCCTGTAATAAGTCATCTTTCTGACTTTGTGGCAACTGTGTTATCAAAAGTTGAGTGTTTCTTCTAAGAAAAGTCATATTTGAAAATAATAAGAACATGTACCTCAACAAAATCGGGAGGTACCTCATCTTTTTACAACAAAAAGAAACATACCAAACCATCGATGATTACCTTCTCAAAAGTTGAAACCAAACTTTTTGATTATAAAAATTGATTAGTGGTGAAAATAGTGAAACCATAAATACAAAAAAAAAAATCAAATTTGTACATATAAACTATGATCACCTGTTTATTCATTGAATTAGGTCCAAATTTTCCATACACCAGTTCACATCGTCCCCTCCATACATCCACCCTACAATAAAAAGAAAAATTAAAATTAGGTAGAAGCAAAAAAAAGTTTGAAAAAAAAGAACAAAAATACAAGGGTTAGTTATGATCTAAAATTGAATACCATGAGCAAGGTATTTATATTGAATAGGAGGCGATGCATGATTTAGAGTTTCTAAATTTTTCGACGATAAATACAAAAAAAGAAAAGAAAATTTACATATTTTCATAAGCAAATCACTATCATAATAATAAATATTTGTAAAACTGCCATTTATTCATTGTTATCCATGTTTATTTAAAATAATATTTACTTTTTTCGGTAAAAATATGGAATAATAACAACTATTTTAGATTTACTACTATATCTGATACTATCTTATAAAATATATTAAAATTTAAGGGAAAATTCCTTTATGTTTCAAAAATAAGGCGGAACAATAATATAATTTTTGATTTACAATAGATAGACATGCATGGTATCCATATGCGTCATGTCACGCTGATCCATATTTTTTTCCAAAACTCGATCTAATTGCTATTATGTGCAAAAATCACCGCCGTTCTCGTTCATGTTCACGTTAGCACTCCATACCTTAATTCACATGTAAACCTCTCTGCCTATCTCTGACTTCAGCTCTCTCATCTTCGAGTCTCCCCAAGAAAGTTTTGACACCACACCAACATTTCATTCGTCAAAATTAAATCGAGTTTGCACAAGGTTACAACCGATTAATAGGTGGTCTTCTACCTTCTATTTACGATTTTATGCTATGAATATATGTTTTTGTCAGGGTTCAAGTCAATCTCCGGATTAGAGACTTATAATCATCCGACGAACAATACGATGGCTTGATAACCGTTTCTAAATTGGTGGGTTCTCTTTCATTGATCTACATATTATTTTTTTTGTTCGTTTTTTTTTCCAAATATTTAGATTGAAACGACGACGAACACGACGATCATACCAAAAATTTCATCTATTCCGGTACGTTTGATCTTTATTTTAATTAGTTTAACAATTAATAGCCGTTTACGATTAATTTCGGATATCTAAATATTATTAATTTGAGTAAGGTTAGAATAGTATTCTTTTATGTTTATATTAATGCTCCGATTAATAATTTTCGGATATTTGACATTATCATCTTAAATATATCAATATTATAATAAATATTTTCCTTTTCCGATTTTTTTTTTTTGGTATAATTCCTTTTCCGATAAATTATGAAACATATCTGTTTACACAAAAGGTAAAAAAAAAAAAAAAAAAAAAAAAGGTTATGACGATAGGAAGTTAATGTATTTATAGGAGGTTAAATATGTGTTTCTAGGGTTTATGATTTAACATATAGTCGGTGTAGTTGTATATTTTATTCGGCCCATATTGGTTTAACGGATTACACAATGTGGCCTTTTATTTAAACGAAAATCATTTAATATAATTAGATTAAAAACGGAAAAAAAACAAGAGCTCAACAAGAGCCGTGAGTCTGACACGTCAGCAAAAACACTTCTTATATGTAAATTTTGTTGCGAATATGTAAACATTATCGTATAAAAGTAAAAATGCTATAATTTAATAAAGTAACTAATTAATATTCGAATTTAATAAAGGGTATTTAAGTAATCACATAAAAGCAAGGGCTCAACAAGAGCTGTGAGGCCGACACATCAGCAAAAACACTTCTCAAATATTATTATATATAGATATAAAATGTACCTCCTAAATCCATGATTACAGAAAATTATAAAGGAGTTAATGTAATGATTACAATTAATCTTGGGTCTAGTAAGGTATATTGGGCCTTAACTTATTGGCCTCAATAAGTAAAGGCCTGACGAAAAACTTAAATGTATACATCCTAAATCCATGATTACCGTAATTATAAAGCTAATTTTGGGTTTAGTAAGGTATTTTGGGCCTCAAACAACAAAAAGGCCTGACGAAACAAAAACAAAAAACAAAAATTGAACGTTTTCGTCGTCGTCGTATATAAAGCATTCTTCACTCGTCGACAAAAAAAAAAAAAAAGGATAGTCCCAACTTTTCTCGCGAACTTCTTCTATTTCCCTCCTTTTTCTGTCACCGGAACTGTTGAAGCATCTCGGATTCAATAATCACCAACGTCTCTCGTCTACGGTTTCTTACTCTTCACCGATTGATAAACTTTCTTTCTTTCTCTGTCTTCTTCGATCATTATTGATTCTTGTGTTCTTGATTTGAACTTTATCACCACAATCTGCTCCAGTTTTTACAATGTCTACTTCCGGTGATCAAGCCACCGCGAACAACACTAACCCTAACAACTCCTACGAGGTACGTAATCTTTCTTTTATGAGTTTTTTTGTTGGAATCTTTACCCATTTATTTGAGATCATTACCGATTATGAATCTTTTTCATCTCGTTGGGGATGTTCACGCTAGACTTAATCTTGATTGAATCTTTCCGTTAGTTAAAGGGATTGCCATTTTTAGGGGTTAGGTTTGAGTGATTCCGATGATTGATCCGGGAAACCTCAATTTCACTATGAATTTCATTTACTTGCAGATTACTCCACCAGCCACCGACTCTATCTCAAGCTTAAGTTTTAGTCCAAGAGCCGATATACTTGTAGCAACTTCATGGGATTGTCAGGTTCTCTCTCTTCATTCTTCTTTACCCTCTGCTTTAGGAATCTAACTTGTTCGGTGTAATACACAAATTCGTAATGCACTCAAATCTTGGCTCTGTTGTGACACTCCGATTGCAGGTGAGATGTTGGGAAATAACCCGTAGTGACGGCTCTATAGCCAGTGAACCAAAAGTATCAATGTCGCATGATAATCCGGTAATATGCTACTGGTTTCTGAGTCTATGTGTCCTCCTGCTTTCTTTTTGCTCAAATGCTAATGAAATCTTTTTCTTGTGGTTCAGGTTTTGTGTTCTGCTTGGAAAGATGATGGAACCACAGTCTTTACAGGAGGATGTGATAAGCAGGCAAAGATGTGGCCATTATTGTCTGCTGCTCAACCATTCACTGTTGCTATGCACGATGCACCTATTTGCGAGATAGCTTGGATCCCTGGAATGAATCTCCTTGTCACTGGAAGCTGGGATAAAACTTTGAAGTAAGAATGATTTCTAGATATTGGAGCATATTATGAAATATCTCAAATAATAGCATGTTATGTAGCATATTGGTTACATTGTTGTAGATATTGGGACGCAAGACAGGCAACTCCAGCTCATACCCAACAGCTTCCAGACAAATGTTATGCATTGACAGTGAAAGAATCTCTGATGGTCGTTGGGACTGGGGATAGAAATTTACTAGTTTTCGACTTGAAAAAACCTCAGGTGTGATTTTCTTTCCATTACAAGCCTGTATACACCTTCACATTTGACCTGATATCTTAGTTAAATGTCTCTTCTTATACTGTAGATGGAGTTCAAGAGAATTGAATCGTCACTGAAGGACCAGACAAGGTGTCTTGCTGCATTTCCTGATCAGAAAGGGTTTTTGGTAATGTACTCTTGTCATTTTGCTCCATCTCTGATGCATTAACATTTCAATTCTTCCTACTCATTCCGAGCAAGTGAATTATGTAGTTAAGATAACATTGTTTGGTATAGGTTGGTTCAATTGGGGGAAGTGTTGGTGTTCATCACATTGATGATGCACAAGTGAGCAAAAACTACACTTTCAAATGCCACAGAGTAGGCAATACTATTTGCTCTGTAAATTCTCTGAATTTTCACCCGGTAAGCCTTATGATTCAAAAATCACAAGTTGTAGATTGATGTGCAACGACCTTAATCATCCTTGTTGTGCATTTCAGATACATGGCACGTTTATCAGCACTGGCTCTGATGGTACATTCAGTTTCTGGGATAAAGATAGTAAAACAAGACTTAAGGTGTTTTCAGAAGCATCTTTGTTGCATAATGTGCTTTTCTTCAGTTTGTTCTATATAATTTATATCTAACAGACGAAAATATCTTAGGCCATGTCAAGGTGCGATCAGCCGATTACTTACAGTACGTTCAATCACGACGGGGCATTATTTGCGTATGCGGTAATGCATCTATTCCTTAGCTTTGTGACAATGCAAACACCAGAGAAGCACTACAATTATGCTACAGAAACCCCTTTTGAGTTTGTAGATAATGTGAGTCACGCTTGCTTCAATAATAATAGGTTGGTTATGATTGGAGCAAAGGTGCAGAAAATCACAAGCCAGATACTGCCAAGACCAGTATATACTTGCACCTGCCAGAGGTACGTCTCTCATTGCCACACATTGAACTGTATTAGAAGATTGCCGCAATTTCGCGACTAAACAGGTCAAAGTTTTGTTGGTGTCAGGAAGCCGATGTGAAGCCCAAGTCAACATACAAAGTCGGCAGATTTACTGTGAAAAAGGAGCAGATTTGAACCATTTTGAGTAAATATTGGATATATTTTGCCAATATCATGTATTTTGGATCCACTCATTGAGTGACTGTTACAGTGAGAAACCAAAGAGAGTAATGATAACCATACTCACAACTAACAACTAACAACTGATGTTTAAAGATACACATCAACATAGTCTCATCTGTTACACGAGAGAGTTTATGCTAATTCGGGTTCATTAACAGATTCTAACTGGCAAAGATCATTACACGGGTTCACCTGTTCCCATCATCTTCGATATCGGTTTGATCTGCCCTTTATGACCAGAAGCTTTCTCTGTTTGAAGGGTATGACCCACATTCTTAAGATACCAAAGCGCTGCTTCTGCTGCTTGCTCAGCTGCGATCTTCTTCTTGTGCTGCGGATCCCCAAAACACTCCAAAACCGTTATCCGAGAATCCTCCTTCATTTCAACCGTAGCTTTGACTGTAAATCTGAATAAAACAAAAGAAAAACATGATGCTCACACTAAAAGATTTTTAAGCTGAAAAAATGTAAAAAAGAGTGCAGAAATGATATGCTCTTACAATATCATATGGCAAGGACCCTCAGCGATACATTCATACACTGGTGCTTTCCAATGCCTCACACTACAGAACTTATACAACTGTGATTTGGCTGACGATCTTTGAGTCTCTTCTAAACAAAACACAACAAAATGTTCAATAAATGAAAACTAAACCCAAAAACCTGAGTGTGATAATTGACAAGGTTTAAGGTTTTGGTTTGTTTAGGAACGCAACAGCTCTTTCAAGGAAGCAAACACAACACTCACATTCATATTCCATAACCATAGAATTCATCTTTAGAACCCTAAAACCCAATAACATTAACAAATCCTTAGCTAATTACAAACTGAGAACACCAAAAAGTAAAGAGTGTGAAGAAAAACAGTACCTTCAGTTGTGGGCTCAGTTGTTTGAGGCCCCAAAGTTGCTTCTGGTTCGGAAACAAGAGTGTTCTCATGTGTGATGTTTGATTCCATCTGCGTGACAATGTCTTCTTCAACAGCATCATTCAGCTTCCTTAACTTAAACCCACTTTCGCATCTCTGTAGCATCATCCTCTTTTCGCATCTCTGTAGCAAAAAAATTAGAAGTAAATAACTCATCCATATTAACTAAAGTTATTCAAATTTCCCACACTGGGTTTATGCTATTTCGAACAAAAAAAACAGGAGAAGATGATTTAGAAGATTTAAGCGCTAAAGGAAAGACGAATATTTCTATATATATTCCGCATATCTTACCACAGAGGAGGAAGAGGTGGGATTTGGTGAAGACTCTAGAGGAGGAAGATACATCGTTGAATTGAAATTTCAAGTATTTTTTTTCTTTTGCTTTATTGGACGTTTAGCTTCAGCTACCCTCTTCCGATTCCTTTACGCTTCCAGAGGAGTAGTTCAGGTTTCCTCTTTTCAGAAATGTATGTGGTTGTACTGTATCTTATTTTTAATCTTTTGTTGTACTGTATCTTATTTGGGTCTAAAATGGACCTTTGTTTCATTTGGTATAATATAAGGCCCACATTCTCGGCCTGTTTCCTTCCACGTCGATTACATGTTTTCTTTTTTCTTTTTTTGCAGTTCAGAGGTGGAAGTTGATTAGTACATTCGTAACTAAAATTATGTGACAAAATAGTTTCGATTAAAGTCAAGTAGTCAACGTCTCGAAGGAAAATAGAGGTTTGCGGAGAATGAAGATAAGCATGAAGTGAAGGCGCACATTGCATTCAATTACAACGGTGGCACATCATTCTAAGCAAAGGCTTTCAATGCACCTCCAAAATTTATCCTTACTAATTTTGAGAAAAATGTACAAAATAAATCGCAACATTTCTGTGATTTTGTAGGATTTACTATTAAAAACAAAGATGTTGATCTCTTTCAATTAGAAAGGCAATATTGATCATTGGTAAAACAAAAAAAAGATTACTGTGGAAATACAACAAATAAAGAAAGTATATGTATTTTAGACTATGCCGCAAACCTACTACAGCTTATGTATGATTCAGATTCTACTTGTGTATTTTTTTTGGTGTGAACTGTAAAACAAAGGTCGTGTGACGTAAATGAGTTCATTTTTAGACACCACTTTTTAACTTTTGTGATCTGCCACAGTGCCACTTTGCCAATAAATTGTGTACGTAATCAGGATAATCCTCATCCTTCTCTCGGCATTTATGATTCCTACATTTTCCCGTAAGATGCATTATTCATGTACTAGTATTATTTTATATGAAATGAGCAAAGAAAAAATATTTTAAATGGTCTTTAAACTTATAGTATATATAACTGTTTTGCAACGTATATATGAGTTTTCTATCAAAGAAGAAGACAACGTAACCAAAGCAAACACAAAGAGATGATCAAAGCAAAACAACTACTCGTAGTTGGATTTTTGTTGTCTCTACTCCTTTTAGTCGTTAACAGAACAGAGTCCATCTCAGATAACGAAAATAACGCTAACGCAAACGTTAACGTAGAAGCTGTAACCGTAAAGGAGCAAAAGCAATCAAACAGAGGGAGACGAAGTGGTAGCGGTCAGAATCGTGGACGGAGAAGCTGCGATCCTCTCTATCAATACTTATTCGAAACCTGTGGCCATTGGCCTTTTCCTACAACACCTTCACCGGAAAACCCTTTTCTCCCTTTCCAACCACCGCGTCCACCACCACGTCCGAGACCGCGTCCAAGGCCGTCCCCACGTCTACCACCACCCTTGGTTCCATCCCCACCACCACCACTGCGCCCGAGACCGTGTCCAAGGCCGTCCCCACCTCGACCGCCGCTTGTGCCGTCTCCACCACCTTTGGTTCCATCACCACCACCGCCTCCTCCTTCACCGCTTGTTCCTTCACCTCCTCCTCCCTCTCCGCCACCATTTTTCTTCTTCCCTTCACCGCCACCGCCAGTGATAGTGTTTCCTCCCCCTTTGGTGCCGTCTCCTCCGCCGCCACTACCAGGTGGTGATCAGACGACACAACCTCCGCCGTTATGGTTACCACCTCCACCATTTCAAGAAGAAACGCCGCCGATGTTCTCTCTTCCACCACCGGAGGATGAGTTTCCACCTATGCCACCAATAACTTGGCTGCCTCCTCCGGATGTTCCCGCCTCGTCGGTAGAGACCTTTGATCAGTTTCCTCCACTGTTAATGGAATCCCCTCCGCTCAAACACTAATCATTTTCTGATTCTCTTTTTTTTTTTTTTCTATCTAGCCGGTGTACGATTACTAAATTACGTAGACGTAACGTAACAATTTTGTTTGTTTCTTTGTAATCAACGTAGCAATTTTCTATTTTCCTTAATAAATTCGCATTAAGTAAGGATCACGCATCTACACTACACTAATGAATACGTGTTTATTTTGGTGTAGGGGAAAAAATGTAATTTAAGTATTTAACCCTTGCAGTATAATATAGCGGGCCGAGCTAGTGACAGTTTAGAAGATTTGGGCCCAAAAACTATCGAGGACTAAGTGTTTATAAGGGTAAAACGGTAATTCAGAGTGTGGGTCAGCTATGTTAAATGTGGTAACAACGAAGAGCAGCTGAAGCAACGGCGTGGAATAAGATAACAAGTCTCGAAGTGAAGACTCGATTTCAATTCAATGCGTCTTCTTCGAACAGAGCATTACATAGAAGAATTGACACCACGTCACGCTTCTTCGCATTTATTTACTTATTCTACTCTCTTCTTTACCTTTTGTTCGTTCATCATATCCATACCATATTTATCTCCTCAGTCAATTCTTTTAGATGTTGTGACGTCTTGCACCAACTCGGTTATGATCCAACCGGGCCTATAGACCATGATTTCTGTGATCAATCCAACCAACTATAAAATCTAGAATGGCTATTGTATATGTTGACCCAACTTTTTATCTAAACCGGAATCGAATTTTAAGAGACATGGACTATGCTGTTACATGTAATATGTTTTATTAGATTGTTACAGCATAAACAAAATAGTTCTGTCTATATTCACTTCAATATCCTTTGAGCAGAGAGGCTGTGTGCTGGCTAACACTTACCTCAAAGCTCTAAATTCCGAGTCAGTTTTAGTTATTGCCTCTTTACATTGGATTGTGTAACCAAATAAATATTCTCCTTTATTACTACAATATTATTCATTGAATCCTTACAAAACTAAGGTCTTTGGTAGAGACAAAACATAGGAATTGCCAAAAATCAAACATAAGTCGACCATCAATGATTCGACTATAAATATATACACATGCGTAGTAGAGTTCCTGCATGCCTTACAAAAAAAAGGATGAAGAAAATTGTACTAAGATGTGTCATTACACTGCTTTTGATCAGTGTTTCAATAACAGAAGCAATAGAGAATCCACACAACAGTCACAGACACAGAGACGAAGAAAAGAAAGGTTTAGATAGAAGAAATAGAAGAGTCAAAAGCAGAAGAAGAAGCCGAAGTAGAAACGGAGAAGCTTTCTCAACAAGATGTGACGTGTTTTTCAGGTGCATTTTCGGCACTTGCGGTCAATGGAATTTCCCGATTGTCCCTTGTCCTCAAAACCCTTTCTTACCTCCTCCGGTGATCTTACCACCACCTCTTCCCCTTCCGCCGCCACCGTCACTCCCTGTTGTCACACCCTGCTCACCACCACCGCCTCCAATCATAGTCAACGGTTCACCACCACCACCGTGTATTACTTGTGTACAAGCATCACCGCCACCGCCAATTCCCATTCCTTGCCCACCTCCCCCATCGCCACCACCACCGCCTCCGCAACCTTGCATTACTTGTGTCACTGCCCCGGCACCGCCTCCTCCGCAGCCTTGCATTACTTGTGTCCCAGCTCCGGCCCCGCCTCCTCCGCAGCCTTGCATTACTTGTGCCACAGCCCCGGCACCACCTCCTCCGCAGCCTTGCATAACTTGCGTCCCAGCACCAGCTTCACCGCCTCCCGTTACGCCATTTGTCCCTACGCCGATTTTTATACTCCCTCCATGGCCACCTTTACTTCCCGTTCTACCACCACCATCACCATCCGTGACGCCTTCTCCTGTTCCAGTCCTACCCCTTCCTCCCCCTTCTGCGCCGCTTCCGCCACCATTATCTTCCTCCCTTCCCTCACCACCCCTTCCTTTAGTTTTATCGCCACCACCGCCACTACCTGGTGGCTCGGTTTCACAGCCACCGTTTACAATGACACCGCCTCCTCTTTTAGGCGGAGGCGCTCCCGGAACCACCGATTCACCTCCTCCCCCTCTTTTAAGTGGCGGAGCTCCAGGACTAATTGATTCCCCTCCTCCTCCTCTATTAGGCGGTGGCACTCCGGGAATCACCGGCTCATCTCCTCCTCCTCTTTTAGGTGGTGGCGCTCCGGGATTTACCGGTTCACCTCCTCCCCCTCTTTTAGGAGGCGGAGCTCCGGGAATCACACGTTCACCTCCTCCTCCTCTTCTAGGCGGTGGCGCTCCGGGAGTAACCGGTTCACCTCCTCCTCCTCTATTGGGTGTCGGAGCTCCGGGAATCACCAGTTCTCCTCCTCCTCTTTTAGGTGGCGGAGCTCCGGGAACTGCTGGCACATCTCCTCCGCCGCTAGTCGCAGACGTCCCGCCCATGCCACCAATAGCATGGTTTTCGCCGCCTGATATACCTACTGGATCACCACCGCCATCTCCAGTTTTCCTCCTTCCTCCGCCTTTAGACCTGTCTACTTTAACGCCGCCAGCTGCACAATTTCCAACGCCGGTTATAACCACCGGATCTCCTCCACCGGTAGACAATCTCCCACCCGATATAGGCAACGGACAACCGCTGAATCCAACGCCGCCTGACCAATCTACGCCGGAGCTTCCACCACCTGATGTAACCATCGAACCACCTATTGACCAGTCAACACCTTCGCCACCAGTCATTCCCGTGACTTTGCCTCCACCCGTTCAAGATTTCCCGCCAATTTTACCTCCACCGGTTCAAGACCTCCCTTCAATTTTACCTCCACCGGCTGAAGAATTCCCGCCGAATTTGCCTCCACCGGATCAAGAATTCCCGCCAATTTTACCTCCACCGGCTGAAGAGTTCCCGCCGATTTTGCCTCCACCAGTTCAAGACCTTCCTTCGATTTTACCTCCACCGGTTCAAGAAGTCCCACCGATTTTTCCTCCACCGGTTCAAGAACTCCCGCCGATTCTACCGCCACCGGTTGAAGAGATCCCGCCGGTTTTCACATTATCACCAACCGTACAAGATCCACCAACAGTTCCAGTATTCTCGACACCACCAGCCCTCGGAGATTTCCCACCCCAAACTCCCGTCTTTACCACGCCGCCAGAGGTCACGAATCCATGGCAACCGCCGGTGACGTCATTCGCACCACCAATAGAGTCCATCCCAACAATACCGGATAATCCAATTCCGGTTACACCAAACCCGGACATGGGTTCAAATCAACCGCTGGTTCAGCTTCCTCCGCCCACTTGGGATTCACCACCATTTAATCGTTAATTCTCTATATATTTTTAAATTTTCGTTTTTTTTTTTCTCAGTAAATCATGTACTAATGTGTAATCTAAACGTAATAAGCTCACAATGCAGCCGCTTTTTACAAATTCATTGCTGTCATTTGCATTTCAATTAAAAAAGCAAAAAAAAGAATTAAGTTTCCACGTGTCATTTTATTTTCCCCTCATAAATTAGATTTAGATAAGAAAAATATTTAAAAATGTAAATACTGAGTTGGCAGGAAGAAGACAGTAGTGAGTGTGGGTGATGTGGATACGGTGAAGTAGTTTCTGAGTCCTAATTGGTCAGAAATCTATCCACGACAGCCTCTGAGATTTCGTCTATAGATTTTCATTATCTCACATTGTCCCTCTAAATCTCCTCCCTTTGATTCTTTCTGCTCCGAAAACAGAGAGAACAACCAAACAATCATTTCTCCACATCTTGAGAGAAAAAAAACAGAGGAAGTATATTAGAGATCTCATGGCGATGGCGGTCTCCGGAGCTGTCCTCAGTGGGCTTGGTTCTTCGTTCCTCACCGGAGGCAAGAGAAGTTCCACCGCATTGGGAAACGGCGTTGGCACTGGAGCTCAGAGAGTTGGCCGGAAAACTCTGATTGTCGTTGCTGCGGCTGCTCAGCCTAAGAAATCTTGGATCCCTGCCGTTAAAGGTGGTGGCAACTTTCTTGACCCTGAATGGCTCGATGGCTCGTAAGTTCTCTTAAATCTATCAGTTACTAGCATGAACAATGCTGAATTCTCATTCAAATCTCTTATGTACTAGCATGAACAATAGATTATGATAGTTCTGAAGGTCGTGAATACTCATTTGGTTCTTATCTGTAAAATGAATCTCAAAAGAGTATGAAAAGCCCGAATTATTACCCAGTTATTGAGTCAAATGTGTGTAATATTCGCAGGCTACCGGGAGATTACGGGTTCGACCCATTGGGTTTGGGCAAAGACCCGGCTTTTCTGAAATGGTACAGAGAGGCTGAGCTGATTCATGGCCGATGGGCAATGGCAGCGGTTCTTGGGATCTTTGTTGGCCAGGCCTGGAGCGGTGTGCCGTGGTTCGAAGCTGGAGCCCAGCCAGAAGCGATCGCTCCCTTCTCCTTTGGGTCGCTTCTTGGAACCCAATTGCTTCTCATGGGTTGGGTGGAGAGCAAACGATGGGTCGATTTCTTCAACCCGGATTCTCAATCGGTTGAGTGGGCGACGCCGTGGTCGAGGACCGCCGAGAATTTCGCCAACTATACCGGCGATCAGGGATATCCCGGTGGGAGATTCTTTGATCCGTTGGGTCTCGCCGGCAAAAATCGTGACGGTGTTTATGAGCCGGACGTAGAGAAGCTGGAGAGGCTGAAATTGGCAGAGATTAAGCACTCGAGGCTCGCAATGCTTGCCATGTTGATCTTTTACTTTGAGGCCGGGCAGGGGAAAACGCCTCTCGGTGCTCTTGGCTTGTGAGAAAATGGCATGATGTTTTTGATTCTGTAGATACAATTTCTCTTTCAAAAACCTAATGTTTCTCTTCTTCAATGTGACATTTGGGAAAAGATCATCAAATCATTGCTTAAATTGGGACTAAGTGATGAGCTAAATTAGCTAGCGAAAAATGTAAAATGAATTCATATGAGGCTTTTTCGTAAATAACTTTATTATCGCAACTCAAACGTGAAAGAGAATACTAAACATCAATGAAAGAGATCCACAACTTCATTCTTTGCCACAAATGCATGATTGAAGAGCTCCAGGTGAAACATTGGAGTAAGAGGACAAAATAGAATAGAGTGACTTTCTTCCCTAGAGAGTAAAATGCCTAACAGGGTTTGAACAGCTAAGTCTCACTCACAACAGTGCGTTGGTTAAACCAAAAGGGTGCAGAGATACCATCATGGGGTCTCTAGCGCATAAAGCTTAGAGCTTGTATTCCGGGTTGTCACGAAGGCTGAGTTTTGACAGGACAAGGCAGTAAGAATCCCAGTCAGTTCGTCTTAGATATTTCAACAGTTTCTTCCGTTTCTGCACCATTCCTAAAAGTCCCTTCCGGGAATGCTTGTCCTACGGTTATAAAGCCACAAACAGGTATGACATAAGATGTCCAAAAGAAACTGGGACGGATAGCTTCACAAAAATTTCGAAAACAATTTGAAGTTTTACCTTTTTGTGTAAACTTGAGGATAAATGCTTGATCTTAGTAGTGAGTTGTGCCACTGCAAGTAGAGACCAGAGACATCAGAAGACAATCTGACTCAGAACGTGTAAGCCTTTTAATGGCTAAAGCCAACATTGATCAGACCACTGGCCTTATGTAGAATTTACCTTGCACACGTGCAGAACCACAATCTGATTCTGACATCTTGAACTCTTCCCTGACTTTCGTGAGCTCAATTTTCATCTTCTCCGCAGAGGACATGTTATCTGGGTGGAAATACTTTGTTGACGCAGTCAAATAAAACAGATCAATACCCACAGTTTCTTTTAAGTGTCACAAAAGATCAATACAGCATTGTAGAAACTATCATAAACCTTTTGCTTCCGACTAATAAGACTGAAAAGCTACTAGCTTTAAGGTCTAAGAGCGTAAAACTTACAGTGTCAACTAGATCCTCTTTAGGAGGAAGAAGCTTGTATTCAGGGATACCACCCAAATGGCCCATAATGGCGCTATTCTGCTCTGCAAGCAAAGAAACCTCGTTATATGACATAAACATCATTTAGACAGCAAAACATGAGTACAGACAACAAAAATCAAACCAAGATCTCAACACCTCGAGTCCTAAGCAAAACTAACCAATTAAGTATCGCATAGATTAGACAGAGAGGGAGTCATGAGAGGCTCAGAACGTACGGGAAAAAGCTTCATTTTTTTTGTCATTGTCATTCTTAATTGATGAAATAACATTCCTGAGTGTCGCAAAATTCTTAGTCCGATATTGTGCCTCTTTCTCTTCCACTTGCCTTAGCTTAACCAACCTCTGATTCAACTCCTGCAATGAGAACCATCCTTCTTCTTTCTCTCCTTCTGGCCTAAGCATCCTTAGCTTCTCACCTAATTCTTCTTCGTTATAAAACGTTAAGAACTCCGTCATCATCTCCTCTGTTTCACCTTCCCTTACCTCCCTCTCGTCCATTTTTGTTTCGAACAGGGATATGGGCAATGCTTCTCCTGCAGTAGTGCTCTTGAAACTTCCTAAAAACCCTCCTTTCTTCCCCATGTTGCTTGAAGTGTTAGTCTGCGTCCTCAAATTCTTTAAAGTTTCACTTACGGTGCTCGAATTGAAACCATGAGCTTTCCAATTTCTAGGATCCGATGAGTTTGTTGCAGTGCTCTGCTTATAGAGGCCCTCTAAGGAAATCTGTGGCGGAGACTGTACGCCACCTGAATCCCTCGGAGGTGGAACGGTGGATCTCCGCTGAAACTTGGCGAGGTTGTTCCCCAAATCATGTGAAGACACACGTGACTGGTTTTGGGCGAAACTAGTCGATCCGCGACTCTGAGATTGGGTATCGGATCTGGTAAATTGTTTCCTTCCTTGCTCCTGCTGGTTCTGTAATTTCTGTTTCAGAGTGGTATTGATGTCGAATGACGGAGAAGAGTATGAGGAGTCCGACGGAGGCGGAGAAGATGGTGACTGAGAGGGATTTTCAACCGGTGTGTTCAAGACTTTGGGAGATGATTCCGATGAGGAATTGGAGAAAAATCGAATCAAAGATGGGTTTGATGGTAACCGTTGGTGGCGTCTGGCGAGATGAAGCGCCATGATTTTGCTGCTCCTAAGGATTTAGGGCTTTGTGTTAGAGTGTGTGTAAGTGATGACGATAACAGATTACAGTAAAAGCGGTTTAAGTGAATTGAAATGTTGACTCTTCCGGTTCATTGTAGACCACAATTGCTCAGGCAAATTTTATTAATAACCGGATATAATCCTCAAACACGTTTACTGTTTACGGATCAAGGTCGTGTCTACTTTGCAACATAGACATGTGAAAAGGCCCAATTGATCTTTTTCTATTTTCGACCCATGAAGTCACCAACAAAGCCCTTAGGGTGTTTCTAATTCACCGACCATTTAATAGGAACTAAATTGGATAATTTGTTTCAAATTGGAGTATTATGGACAGTAAATATGAATGGCCATTAAGTTATATAATTTCAATCCTAACCAAAAAAAAAAAAGAACGAGTTCAATACATACTTAAAAAAAAATACATATTTGAACTATCCTAAATTATAAATTTTATCATACCTAACCTAAGCAATATGGTATCTATCTACAATCATGAAATATGAAAATGTGTTTCAAGTAAGAATGATCTCACACGTCCACAAAACTATCCCGAAACTGCATATAAATAGAGTAATGGATGTAACTGAACCGGCACGCAAGCCATAAAGATCTCACTAACCGCGCGTGTATTCTAGTCGTCAACCCTAGTACCTTTGCACAAAGTACAAATGCTATATGCCACGTATGTATTCCTATGGGTCCCACTCTCACCAAGAAAGAAAATTAAAGACAGATTTACAAATAATTTTTCAATCTAATAACTGTATGTGTGTGAAAACGTTATATATAAAAAAAAAAAATCCACCCATTAATGTGCCACGGGAGATTTTTTCTTCTTCTCCACTTTTCGCCACCATTTCTTCTCCTTCTCTCTCTTTCTCTCTATCTATCTAAATTCGGTGGAAGGTCCAACCTTAGACTATGACCGGCGGAGACTGGATTCACGAGGCTATGTGTGATGATTCATTGGTGGCGGAGGCTCTGATCTGTCTCCTCCATGCTGAACCGTCACCTCCTGAGACGAAGAGTGGCGGCGCGTCGGATCTCAAGCTGAAGTGGAGCGTGCGTCAGCGGAGGACCAAAGCGGCACCGTTAAGGAAGAAGGGAGATCATGATACGCGTGCTAGTCCCACGACGCCTCTTTCCTGGAGCGGCGCAACCTCTTTTAGCGGCGGTGGAGGCGGAGGTAGCGGTGCTGCTGTTGCCGTTGATGGATTTGAGGAGTCAAGCGGCGCCGTGAAACTGTTTGAGGCCGTTAGATCTAAGGTTCGTTCGATCATTTACCTTTGGTTTCTATGTTCATCAGTTTTTGAAAACTCTGCGTTACTCTGTTTTGTGTGTTTGACAAATATACCCCTCGGGATGCGGCGTTTTGACGGCTACTAGCCACCGTGTTATAACGAAGCCTAGTCGTACTTTTTTCCTGATATCCATCCACTTCACGTAATCTCTCAGTCTTCCTTGTTTTCCGCAACTACTTCCAATTTCGCCCCTCTATGCCTATTTGTTTCTCTCTAGGCCACTTTCGTCATTTCAGTTCGGGATCGGCTTCTTCGCCGGTCACGCATTCTTGGCCTTTCTATCTATATTCCGACTTACCGTTGACCGATACATCACTCTGATACGCTGACCTTGACATGTCACGTTCTTTTTCTTCATAGATAAAACTCAAAATGACAAAATCTATCTATCTTCTTTTGCTTTTTCCGATTTCTGCAATCTAGTGCCCTCACATCGAGATGATGGTGATTGGTGACCAAGTTTCACGTCACGATGCTTGGCTCCTGAAACTGTTCGCTGAATTCAAGCAAGATAAATTATACCGAGTCATCACCAATTCAATGACGAGATTACCCCTGTGTCACAGAGTGTGTTAGGGGTAGTTGAGTCAATAAGAGAAGTTATGGCTGGCGTTATTTATTATAGCTTATAACGAGGGTTGCCTCTTTTATGGGTCGAGAGGCGTTTTCGTGGCGGATTAGGTTTGGGGGGTTTGGTGCGTCTGTGGTGTAATCAGATGCGGCGTGGAACATAATAAGTCTCATTGGTAATAATGGGCTGACGTGGAAATACAAAGTCAATAACTCTCCACGCGACAGTTTGACTGCAATCCAAAGCATCTCTTGGGTCAAAATCACTAACTCCTTTTTATATTGGTTTAGCTTTTTTTTCTCTATGGTTTAAGCTGAATTATCTTACCAAGTAGAACCCACCAAAGTCACCCAGTTTTGTGATTAAAAGAACGTGACAACTGATAAGGACAAGTGGTTATGTGGATAATTCGTGACAACAAAAGTGTGGGGTCGTGGCCATGGGGAGACACGCGTATAAGTCTTGCAAGTCACGCTCCATTCACGTGATTCTATTCTTTCGAATTTAGTATGTCTCGAGCTAGGGAAAAAGATGCACTTCTTGTTCATATTGCTTTTCTTGGGTCTAAGTAGTTGACCAAGAAAGAAGATTCTTTTTTAAATGTTCTTTGGTGATTAACTTGTCTATGATTTGGTATTTTTATTTCGGTCTTTAAACATGTAAGGATGTCTTGTTATTGATCGAACACTTCATGCTTATGATCTTGTAGATTTCGCAAGAGACTCTTCTTTTCATCGTCCCATTTTGTCTCTATTGCTGCCACTCACCCTAGTTGACAACTTAAAATTATGGAATCACATTTTAAGATTATGGTCTATACGATATTACGTATATGTCTCGTTTATTTGAGGTCGACTTGATCTGACCTTGTTATATAAGTTGTGAGAAGCCACATTCTAATATTTTTGGTGGGTTTGACGCAGATATCTCAAACAAGTGTAACAACAAGCCCTTTCAAGAGATCAAGAAAGAAAAAGGTAAATCAGATTCTGGTAGAATTACAAGTACATTATATGATATTATGTCTTAATTTAATCACTGTACGTGGCTGTCCACAGACACTTGCTCAACTTAAGGAGGAGGAGAGTTTGCTCTTAAAGGAAAGGAAAAGCTTGAAAAATGTAAAATATTCTTTCCCAGCTTGTTCCAATATCAAGTCCCCCAAATCTTTAATATATTACTTGTTTGCGTCAATCAGGAACTCGCAACTATGCAGGATCTGCTCGAGCAACAAAGAGCAAGAAACGAGTCTTTAAAGAAAATCCAGGTTAAATTCATTTTCCGATTATAGTAGAAGATGCATGATCACTCTTTTGAGTAGAAAGAAAAGATAAATCTTTAACAGATCATATCGCTGTGCAGGCTGAATCACAAAAGAATGATGATTCCTCCTTCTTGCTCCCTGACCTTAACATACCTCTGGATAACAACCCGAGCCCTGAAAGTCTCTATGGAACCAGCTGATATACAACTTGGACACAACTTTCAAAACATCAATATTCTTTTGTCAGTGACACGTTCTATAGACTATGCGTAACTGTAACTATATGATATGGATAAGAATATATAGATAGATAATCGTCGTCTCCTTCCCTTGGCTTTGCAGAAGGATACAAAGATTCTAATGAAAGAGGAGACGAGTTAAATGTTTAATGAGTTTTTGGTGTTTTTCTTTTAGATATCAATTCTTAGGTTGTAGCAAGTTTTTTGCTCTTGCCTTCCTTTTGTTGCTTCTCTCTCTTATTTCCACTCTTGTTATGTTTTTCATAAGATGAGATGTAATTAATAATAATTACTAGTACTAAATATCTTCTTCTTTGATTTTTTTTTTCTTAATCACATTGACTTTCCATATTTTGGTAATAATGTGTACTCATTTTCACCATTAGTTATATAAGCATGTTAATGTTTGGGCTCAGTGGGCCGAATAAGTTAACCAACCTCTATGGTTTACTCGGATATTAATTTTGATGGTATAAAGTCAAAGTTATGATTCAGTCCCCGATTGTCATATTTGTCACGCTCTTTGTCACTTTCCGCCATTCCTGAAGGCCGAATCTCGCCAATAGCCTCTGCATTTGAGGTGCAAATTTTGAATTTCGTTCTTTTCTTATTTACGCTTTGAGTTTAGATGCGAAAGTAGCAATGTCACTCCAAAGAAATGTTTTTTTTTTTTTTTTGTTTTTTTTTTTTCATTAGGAGAATTAATGGATTAAGTGTTTTTGACCGATAAATGAAGGAAACTGGTACCTCATCGTTCTAACTTTCCAACTCAATAGTTTTGTTTTCTTGTGCTTCCATTAATTTGATCGAGAGCTTTTCACGATGCATGGCCCTAGACATGTTATAGACATTTAGGGTATTCACATTGATCTGTTTAAATGAAGTTATAAAGAAAGTCTACTATATATACGTAACGAGGCCTCCTCTTCAAAGCGGCAAACCCACAATGGACATATGTGACTGGAGAACTCAGTTGACACCTGATTCACGTCAGAAAATCGTTAAGAAGATGTAAGTTTCTTTTTGGACTCTGCAAAGATATTATTCCATTTCCACACATTCTAGCTAGTCTAATGTTACATATTGGCCCCAGTCTAGAAAACAAACTTTTTGATCAACAACAACAAAAACAAACTTGTTGTAATACACTATAACAACAAAAACAAACTTGTCGCTCTGAAATTCCTCTAAATACACTGAAAACGCCGGCTATTCTGTTGGAGAAGACACCATCTTCACAAGGTCTGAACAGTCTGTAAAGGACGCTATCTCTTGATTATCTGCACCAATCATACACTTCATCGCCCAGAGAAGGGCCTCGACTTCGGCATGTAGTGGAGATAGACTTCTACGGAGGTTCGCAGCTCCCATGGTTGGCGGCTCTCCATTTGACGATGTACAGAACCAGCCTGTACCGGAGAACTTATCACTTTTTTTCCATGATCCATCCACAAAACAACGGTATCCCGAATACTCCGCCTCAAGTGAAATATCCCTCACTCGATCTTGATTTACCAAGTCCACATAACCATGATTTTCATTATGGATCTCAATTTGAGCTGATTGCCACAATTGTACCTTTTTTCCGCTAATCGTAGTACTTCTGCTGGGTCTGTATCTATGCTTTCAAAGATCTTTTCGTTCCTTGCTTTCCAAATATACCAAATAATCTATGTGAAGGCTGATGAATCAAATTCCGTAGGTATTCTCCAAAATAAGTGATCTAAATTAGTAAAATTAGATTCCGTGGGGAAAATCCCCATAGCCGTAGGAATCTGTGAAATGTCCAATTCTGTCGTGCCGGGTGACACTGAAAGAGTGTATGATTGATTGTTTCCTCTGATGCGCCACATCTGGCACATCCCATATCACAATCAATTCCTCTTTTCCGCAAATTTTCCGTAAATAGTACACATCCCGTTAAGATTTGCCATATGAAATGGCGTATCTTAGGTGGACACTACACTTACCAAGAATATGCTTTTAACGGGTTGATGTTAGGGCCAAAAAAGTTTAAATTGGTCTCCGACTTCTCCATCCGTGTAGAATGATATCCCGATTTGACTGTATATTTTCCGGATTTTGTAAAATGCCAACCCAAAGAATCTTTTTTTGTTGGCGCATCCACAGGTATGACGCTTATTAGAGCGACATCTTCTGGATTAAAGATCGCTTTTAAGAGGTCAATATTCCAAAAATTCGACCGACTATCTATAAAGTCTTTAACTTTTAAAGATGGATCAGCAACTGAACAATTATTTTTAATTTCCTAATGATAAGTAGTCAAATGCATTTCTTTTCATTTTTTTGGTAATGTAAGATACGAAGGGACGTTAAAAAAAAAAAACAGTAAATAGAGAGGAGACTCTTTTGTTTAATTATATGGGCCTAATGGGCCGCGCCACCTTTTTATTGATAACCATTTTAATTCACCCCTGTGACTCCGATCGTCGCCACCTTGACCCCTGAAACCCAAAGTCTTGTCGATAGTCTCTGTTTCGCCGATCAGTGTACAAAACTTTTGTTGGTCGGTATAAATTTCCAACTCAATAGTTTTTTTTATTCTGTGTCTGAATTTTTTACTCGGATCAAAACCTTCCGCTTTCAATAATCGTTGTGTTATAAGATAAATATGGTCTGTTTTCACATATTTGATCTGTTTTTTTAACTTGAGTTATATACAGAACAGAGAACCCATCATGGACACAGGTGACTGGAGAACTCAATTTCCATCTGATTCACGCTCGAGAGTTGTCAATAAAATGTGAGTTTATTAAAAAAGTTAATCAGATTTTCTCGCAATCGCGGTGTTTAATGTTACATTAAATTCGCCTTTGATCAATAAGGTTTTTACTTTTACTTTGTTGATTTGACTTGACCGCTTGTGTAGAATGGAAACTCTGATAAAGCAACTTCCATTTATTGGACCAGAGGGAATTAACGAGCTCAGGAAAATTGCTGTCAGATTTGAGGACAAAATATTCAGCAATGCTATCAATCAGGTGATTCAGTGACTCCACAATTTGGAAATGAACTGAGTTTTGGTACTCATAAAGCTCATTTTTTGGATATCCATGTCCTTTTGTTTCGATCTTTAGGCTGAGTACCTTCGTCAAATATCCCTGAAGATGCTGAGTATGGAGACTAAATCACAAAATGCAGCTGGTTCTTCCTCATCTGTCTTTGCCGCTGATGACAACAGCCCTCCGTTGGTTCCAGGTAAATAAAAGGCTTTTTATTTCTCCGACATTTAAGTCCTTCATGTACTATAGGTCTATAGCAGAAGCTTGTTGTTTTGGTGTCCTTAATCTTAATGTTTTCTTTTCATGTGACACATAAGATGATTTTTTTGGGTGTATTCTTATGGACATTGACCATTCAGAGCCTTCTCTTCCGAACAATGAACCTGATGTGAATTCAAGTGACTGGAGAACTCAACAGCCACCGGATTCACGCCAGAAGAATATCTACGCGTTGTAAGTTCATTACACACTCGCTAGTCATTTCTGTTGGAATGAATAGAGGGTTATAACGTTTTCTCACATTGCCTTGACCTATAAATATTTTAAATGTATCACTAATTACTTGTCATTTGTGCAGATTGGAAACACTAAAGAAAAATGTTCCATACTCTGGGAAAGAAGGAATTGACGAGCTCATGAGAATTGCTGTCAGCTTCGAGGAGTTGATTTTCAACACTGCTATAAGCCAGGTTTCAGTTTCATCCTCATTTTGATTCTTTAGTGTGGTCAAGTAGATAGATTTCAAAGGCATTGGTAAAGAAACATCTGACAGTTGGTGCCTATGAACCTTCTTATTGTATGAACCTCATTACATTTTGACTGAATTCCATGTGAACTCTTTCTTGATATCATTCCCTTTATATGTATATTCTGTTTTATTTGGAGTTTCAGGAGGATTACCTTGGCAAAATATCCATAAAGATGCGGACTATGTAAGAGGGCAACTAAGTCATTAAGTGGCGTTCTAAGCGATCAATTGCGTTTGAAACTTTCAGGGCAATTCCATATTTGTATAAAGAACTCACCTTGAAAACCTTTTAAACCTGCAATGTTTAATGTATATATAATTAATCATGGCAAAGGTATCCATTGATTTGATTTATGAAACACCATTTCTCATTTCTCCAGAATCATCAAGGAAAAAAAGACATTTAAAAAATTACTTAATTATATTTTATTCTACTGAAAGTTTTCAGCAGTTGATACGCACTACTGTGGCTGGAAATTGGAGAAACTCTCTCAAACATTGGGGGATATAGATATTTGCAGTAGCAAATAGAATAGATATCACCTATTCCAAGTTTCCAACTATGGTTTTGTTATGAATATCCAGACGAAAATGAAAGTGATCTTTTTTTATTAGAAAACATCAACATATTAGAGACACTAAAGACTCCTCTTTTGACTTTGAACATGTACACTTGACAAGTTAGGTTAGTTTTTTTTTTTTTTTTTTTTTTTTTTTTTTTTGTCAAACAAAATAGGTTAGTTTAGTTATCTTTTTAGTTAGTGATACTGAAATTTACATATGTTTAGATTGAAATTTGTAAAAAACAACTGTTGTTTATTGATGATTATTCGAAAATCCTCTATATAAAAAGGAAATGTTTTACACAATCCTTTAATGTGACATCATATACATATACATATATAGGGGTGTCAAAATG